ATCTTCTGATTAGGGAAACAATCCTACTGGATCTTTTCTAATCTGGTTTGATTGTTTGTCTTTTTCCATAATACGCAATCGTCAACAGCTGAACACTCTGATGCATAACAAAGGAATGGGAGAATGTGTGCATGAAAATGTGTGATGATAAAGTATAATGACAGAAAAATATACAAATGTTGACATTTGAATGTTTGTTTTGAAGCAATGATACCAATTGTCTGCCAGTTGATTGACAAGATTAACTACTTTTTATTTCATCAAGGATATTTACTTAGTATAATATGACAGCCAATTTGACTTCTGAGTTTCAATGTATAGGAAGTTTGCATACTTTAATTAAAATTTTTTAGTGTTTGACTATATGGAAGAAAGAAATTGGGCCTTAAGGATTTCTTTTGGTGCTTTTTTGGCTTAACCCAAATAGTGATCACAAATTTTAAAGGGACCTTTTTTATTTTGACTGTAACTTGTTGTTATGCTTTTCATATGAACATGGTGTCACTGTTCAAGTTTGACTTTCCTAGATAGAAAATCCAAATAAGAAGCAAAACACAACAGGAATAGTTTGATTACACTTTCTTTCTTTGGGTGTCTAGTGTTCATTTTGGTCTGAAGTGTTGATGTATCATATCCAGTATCATGGGGCAAACAGTGTGAATTCAAAGGAGTACTAGGAAGCTGGTCAAATTAATATTTGAATATAAACATGATCATCTTTCCAACGGCCCTGGGTGGATGAGGTTAAACAACTAAAGCCCAGTGGGCCCAGTCACATGCCATGCAGTCAATCCTATCTTTACTGATGCAGCCAATTTTAGTTAAAGACACATTGCTTTCAGTCCAAACTATAACAGCATGCTTTGTTTCCACTTGCATCCAACAGAAACAAATGTCTCTCTGTTATCTGTGTGGCACAGCAAACAGGGTGATGCGTGTGTTGGTGGTGATAGTGTTTCTACGATGTCATATACTGGAGCGCTAATGACAAAACAGCCCTGTCTACTGCGTTCAACAGAAAACAGGGTGATGTTGATGTGGTTGGGAGAAGCTGCTGGGATATATCATAATGGTGTATTGACCAAAAGAAGGATTTTCTTTGGTATTTGATTCTACTGCCACACCCTTGGCCCAGATTCAGCCGTTATCAGAAGCATAAGAGCATTATCTTATCATGAAGGAATATTGCATCAGTCCAGCAACTGGCCGATACATGTATGAATCCACTTCATTCACGGGGGCAGTCTTCATTCCTGAGCTGTAGCGTTACCCTGGCGACCTCCTGAGGTTTACTGCAGAGTTCAACCAGATTATGAATAATGGAGAAAGGTCAGGATATATTTTTAATGGATTCATACACAACATGGCTGCAGCTGCATCAACAGAGACACTGTAGCGATCGTTTCTATTACAAAGGGCGGGGTTATTGACTGGACTGTTGCTCCGACTTCTGTGTTGAATCTACAATAAAAGTGTCAGCAAACTTTAACATAAGCTAGCCTCTCTATGTAAGAGTTGATACCACTAATCTGTTTCATGTATCTGGTTTAATTTCAAGCACCATTTAAGAGTGTCAGATCATATATTCTGCAGGAAGCGGTTTGATTCAATAGATAATCAGCTGTATGTTTCAGATGGGTGGGCAGCACAGACTAATAATTCAAAATCATGCATTTGTAATTTCCTTCGTTTCAGTGGTACAAAAGAGAAAGTATTTTCTGCCTTTAGAAAAACAAGTCTTCTTTTCATTTTTTAAAGCGTCTACACAAAGTCGGTCTCCACATGCATAAAGCGCTGATTGCTTGCTGTGTGATATGAGGAGCTTTAAAGTAATTCCTCTCCATAATAAGCTGTTTTCAAGTGCATCAAAGAAAGGGGTCAGGGTGGGTCTTAATCAGTCATTCCACATCTGTTTCTGCTCTCAAAGGCAGGTCACCATGACTTTAAATGCGTCCTTTAAGTGTTCCTCAGTGTGTGATGTGAGATGTAATTTAAAAGGAGTATCAGTAGCATGAAGCCTCAGAGTCTTGTCCCCCCGTTGACACCAAGTAAACAGCCACTTAGTTAGCGTGTCCCTGTCCACCCCCATAACGCTGATGGAGACTAATGATCACACCCATGTGTAATTGCTCTGACATATCACAGTGACAGATCACATAGAGAGCAGAACATCAAGAATGGCTTAACACCAGTTTCAAAATGGACACAGGAAATTAGGGGCATCCGACCATAATGGAAGCTTGTATTATATTTTCGACTCACTCACTGGGATAAGTCTGACTTTTTAAAGGCAGCTATTTATCTTTGACATGCAGGGAATGCAGACAAATGCCGACAAGCATATTCATGGACCACACATTTGAAATTTGTGACATGGCGGAAAATATAATTTTTAAACATAGCTATCCAATGCTCTTGATTTGCATAATTATAATGAAGTGCTCGCTCAGAAGCACCCAATCAGGATGTCAAGTAGAAAGTAGGAGGAAATAAATCCTTTTATATGTTAATCTGCTTTACTTCAACATTGTCTAGCCTGCCAGGGAAATGAATGTTTCACACCTAACATTACAGAGGCATTTTGTATTTGCATCAGTAGGCAGAAAGGCAAATGTGTAATTTCATTTGATTCACTTTAAATTAGTTCTGCTTTTTTAGTTGCTATTAAGCATTTTTGACACTATTTTGACTCTGTCTAAGCGAGTGCTAATAATATGTTTGTTCATTGCTGTCAAGATGGACCAGAAAATGTAATTTTGTTCCAGATGTTACACCTCATAGCTTCCTGTGGTTTAACAAATACAGTTTCTTCAACGTATTTACAGGACAATAACGTTTTATGCTTCTCACCGTGTTCAGCTGGAAGTTGAAAGATTTATCTCGGCAAAGGTTTTATGGGAGGAAAGATGCTGATAGTTTCATCAAGCTAATTAAAAAAAGATACACAACAACTGAAAATCAATACATTTTTCTCCCTCACGATCATTAACACCAAAGTCAATGTGGGTCGTCATCGAGGGCTGGGATTGAATTAACATCTATATACTATATTGAATAACCTTGAAAAAAAGATATGCCAATCAAGATAAGTATAATCATGTTGATGTTCGATGCAATGGCGTCGTGCCTTTCATGAGAGCAAACCCTCACGTTAAAGTATTTGTATACATTTGGTGGCTTTTATTAGCAATTTGCTTCGAAAGATAACTCAATGATAATGATGAAGTCTTTGAACAAAATGGCAAATTGCTCTTCATATCCTGTTTGTATATGCAAAACATTTAAAAAGGCACAATAAATAGGATTTCCCTAAATCTTGTGTATGGACTAATACAAAAATAACCATCTCTTCTGACCCACTATATCTATCAGTATGTTTTTGTAGAGACATCATCCCCTGCCTGTATGTTTGGATATTTTCTGGACGTTTTTGGGCTTCAACTTGAGATAAAAATGCAGTTACCAGATATAGATCGTATAAACACATCCAAGAAAGAGCTACGGAAAAGGAAACGGCGCCAACAAAATGCAAATATAGCAAGACGAAAGGCAGGGCAAATTTCAGTTTTTGAATGTTTGGTTGCTTTACATCAGACAAATCCTAATCATACCGTAGGATCTTAAGGTTGCAAGTGATATTAGTCAAACTTGAAGCACAAATGAATTATGTCATAGTCCTAATTTAATAGGACTCTATGAGACATCTTGTCATAATGAAGTCCTTTATGTTAAGCTCAAATCATGTGAAAAAAACATCACCATCTGCATAACAGGAGGTGATATCTTTTAGGATTACAGGAAGATTTAGTGTAAGCTGAGACAACTCTCCTATACATGTAGCTTTAGTGCGCTTTGATCTTTCACTTTTGCAGAACATTTGTAATCTAATGAGGAGGGAACTTATGAGAACTTTTCTTGCATATTCATTAAACCATTATTTATTCAAGAAACCTAATTAGAAGTTCATATTTGCAATAGGCCTGTTTCACTGAATACATTTGAACATGTCACAGCAGGAACAGAGCAAGACTAAATAATGGACTGGAAGATGGCTGAATCCTGTGGATCTGCTCTAGTTTCAGGCCAGTGTTGTGCATGCTGATTCAGTCATGGTGTGCTGCAGAACAGACATTGGTCATTTTGGAAGGCACACCATTGCTTTTCGAATAATGAAAACATTAAAAAGTGGATCACATCACTTTAGTTCTGATGTTACTTCCCTGGCTTCATGTAATAATACTGCATAATACTACTAGTGGTTGATAAAGCACTGAATGGTTTGGTAGTCAAAGTACATGTATGATCTTCTTCAATATTATATTATAAATTCAGAACAGGTCTGCTTTCTGTCCCTAGAGTAAATATCCTATATATATATATATATCTATATATCTGGAACAAACCCCCAGAAAAAATGTCTGCTGCAAGTCTCATTATAGCCAATGACCTTGCCATTTGCCTCTCATTCAATCAAACAATTATGCCTTTCTTAAGCAGCAATGTAACTTGTATTCTTGTATGTACACCTGTCTTAATGTATACAAGCTTATTTTAATTTCTCTTGGCTCTTTAGTGACTGTTTTAATTGTATTTGAATTGTAATTCAAAATGTGTTTATTTCGCACATTTTTCCTGATGCTTTTAATGCTTCCTATAAAGCACTCTGAATTGCCATGTTGTTAAACTGTTCTATATAAATAAGCCTGCTTTGCCTTGCCTGTGACAAATTGGCAATGCTAAAAGGCACAGGTCACAACTTGAGCCATCCATCACGAAGCTCAACACGAACACCTTGCCTTGAGGAGCCATTCACTTCACTCAGCGGTGTCCTACTGTGCCATTTATTATGGCTACACACACACAATCACACACACTGGTGCAGATACTCCATCTTTCTCACTGTCTAGTACTAACCCTGCCCCACTTATATCAACCACACACTCACAACCCTGCTTTATGGCTCTGGCACACACACTGACCGGATTTTGTCCTGCCCTCAGGTGACGATTCTGATCATCCTGGCCCTGGCCTTCCTCGCCTGCATCGTGTTCCTGGTGGTTTATAAAGCCTTCACCTATGACCACGCCTGCCCAGATGGATTCATTTACAAGGTAAGAACCATAAGTGGCACACGTTTCATTACAGCTTTACAACACATCTATTCACAGCCCAGAGACAGACAGGTTGTTAGCAGGGCAGCTGGGTAGTAAAGTAGCTTCCACAGGATGAGATAAGTAAAGCTCCAAATAATCCCTATTTTAATACTATTTTCAAATCGGATGATGGATATGATTACTCCATACAAAAATCCAACACTCCAAGGGTACATCATCAGATAACTGTTTTTTCGAAAAGTCCAAATAACAACAACTAGATATAAAGTGTTTACTAGTGAGCTTTAGAAGTGCTTAAGCAGATGTTGTTACCTTTGGAGAAAGCCAGGATCAATTTCTGCTTTGTTGATGTTTTTCAGCCCGCGGTAGTAGCAACACATCCTTTGAGGATTGTATCAAGGTCCTCAAAATGAATAAGGGTATTTCTTAAAATGGCCTCGAAGAAATTGAAATGTTTTTATTTTTAGCACTAGAGTTATATTGTCCCTACATTGTCTCCTTATCTACTTTCCCTCCTGTCAAAAGAAGTAAAAAAAAAAGCTGAAAAAAAACGTACAGCCCTATTTTTGCTCATTTTTGAGGTCATGTAATGAAAATGCTAACCGGCTCACCATATAGGCACTCAATCAATGGTATCAGTGTTTTTTTTAGTAAAATCTCATGTTATTTTAGGCTTTACTGCTTTCATTCAGAAGCCAAATGTAATTAGCCATGTCCATTTTAGGGGAACTGCCTATTTGACAATAATTACCACATTATGGTCACCAACCCCCAATTGATATGGCTGGGGCCGTAAAAGATAACGGCTTATACAGCCAACCTTATCCAACAATCTGCTGTCTAGATATGCATAGTAATAGTCTAGAAAGGTTTAACTCTCCTCTTGTTTCTTCTCCTCTTTCTCCTGCACTGCACCTAAAACACAAGTGTCTCTGTACTTTGTGAGAGGTCACCTTGGAAGTACTGTATGTGTCTCTGGACAAATCTTAAGGTAGAATAAATCTAGTTAAAGTCCCTGCAGGGGCTCTGCCTGCAGTCTGCTGAGGTATTATTAGCAGTGTCACATGCGTGTACAACGGGTGCAGAAGTGTTAATAGAAAACCTGCTAATACAATATGGCACACACTACACAACAGCACATAAGGTTGTGAATATATGCACTCCAAGCAACTTACAATTCTCTACAGACTCAAAATACAATAATTTACACACTACATTACAGTTGAATGGCCTGTGTATCCCCTCAACATACAGGGTGCTAATGAATTAAGTTATGTTAATGTAATGGTTTCTTCTCTCTCTTCCCTATTCCGTCAAAAAATGTTTTTTATCTTTCCTCATAAAAAATTCTCGTGAGACATTTGTGTTTAGTTTTGGCCTACTGGGAACCACACAGTGTATTTTGTAAGCTAGGTATAAACAAGAGTTGTTTAGACATTGATGTTAGCTTTTTGAGGCATGTTTTTTTTTATAAAGATCATATAATGATATGATCTTTATAAAATTACTGAGTAATACCAAGTATACCACTCATTTTATATTTCTATAAATGTAAGTGTACATTTTCCCATAAAAAAGTGTGGCATTTCACTGAGTTAGAATTTTCTCTGACTGAGTAGAGGATACCTCAATAACAAGTAAGAACTGTTATATTTGATCTGATTCCATTCATGTAAAATACACGTTCATGTAAATATCGTTGGTAAAAACATTGTTTTTTTACTACAGATTTTGGTTACAGTATATTGTCCCACCTTGATAACTACATGTAGCACTTGAACAAAGAGTAATTGATAAATGTTCTGAACCTCACTGTTTCTCCCTCACAGCACAAGCGGTGTATCCCAGCCTCTCTGGAGGCGTACTACGCCGCCCAGGATGCCAACTCGAGGGGCCGTTTCTACACAGTGATCAGCCACTACAGCATGGCCAAGCAGACCACCTCACATTCTGTCTCCCCCTGGCTGCCTGGAGGGGCCACAGGGCAGCAGCCTGACCCGAAGCCCCCAGGCAGCGAGGGCCACTAAGTTAGCCGTCATTTGAGGGTGTTCATGCAGACATGAAGAAACACCGGAAGATGTAGACACAGAAACACACACGCACACACGTAGGTGACAAGTTAAAAATATAGAGACGTACACATCCATAACAGCTACATATATAGTGAATATATAGGCTGACAACATGCATGCAGACATTAAAAAACCATGAGCACATGCTAGGTCTTATTCTGATGTACGATAGTCTCTTTGTTTCCCATTAAACCTTTGCTATATTGGGATTATCACTGTCTGCTGACACACACACACACACACACACACACACACACACACACACACACACACACACACACACACACACACACACACACACACACACCATGTTTTTAGTCCCTCTCTCTAACTTATTATTTATTGAATGTCTTGATATATTTATTTTCTAATGTAATGTATGGATGATTTGTATGTGATTATCTTTGTACATAGGAACAAGTCAATATGGAATTTCACGCTCGCTGAGTCCTTTTTTTCTTTCGTTAAGTGTGTATACTGTAGTTATTGTATATTCATTCACAGCCCTTGTTCTTTCCTGCCTTTCTTATCCAAACTGCGTAACCTCAGGCACATTCGACAAACACATCACACAAACAGATAACTCCATATTCTAAATAAAAAAATGTCAGTATGGTCTTGTATTTCTGTAACACATTTTTAAACATTTCCGCTGTATTGTCTAAGGTTTAACAGCAATTTCAACAACCGCAACACATTGTGTGTTGATTGAATAACATTATTTTCCCATCATGGCTGTTCGGTGGCTCTTATACAGTAACATTTCAATGTGCTGTGCTATATCCTGAAATCTCTGTAAATAAAACTGAGCGCTCAGGCTAGTTTTTGTGTGTATGCCTTGTAGTAGCTTTTATTAGGAGGTTTTTCCTTTTGGTTTTTACAGACCTACAGTTGGTTTCTGCAAGTTACTTACATAGCCTATTGCTTCAGTCTTGTAGGTCCATTTAACAAAATGTTGCAGACGGGAAAATAAATACAGTGCATATCCCGGTCTCCTGCCTGTTATTACCGCTGTGTTTTTGTTCTGATTATGGATGGGCTTTAACTGCGGCCAAGTTTTCTTCCTGTACTGTTATTTCTCATTTTGTAATGTTGGATCTGTTGTCGAGAGCGCTTTTACGAGATATTGTGATTTTGTTAGTTGATATGTAGCGATACCTGGTGTAATTGATCAGTGTGCATCCCTGTCCCCTCTTCTCTTGGTTTGAATTCAAAATAAAACAAGCTGTGACCTGTTCTGAGTGTGTCTGTCTGTCCCACTTACTGCTGTGTCTGCCTAGCACACACACAAAGGTCAATCCAGCCCGGAGATAGTGCAGTGTGAATGCCAGTGATGGTTTTTCCTACGGGTTGTATTATTCAGATTGTCATACTCCTACAAAAATCCACCCTACATTAGATATGTATTCTGCCCCCCGTGTACAGAAATGTTCAGGGCTGCAGACAGATTTGTTGGCTGTAATGATGAGCAGCTGTGATTGACAGCAAATAAGGTACCAGAAGAATACATGTATCTGCAATAGCTACTGGATATATTATCTGTCTACAGAGTCCTCTGTGAATGGCAGATAAGGCCTCATTTTTTCGTACGAGCAGCACGAACAACAGAGTCTTCAGTGAGTGACAAGAAGAGCTAGCTTTTCTATTAGAGGCTTGTATTTTAATGAATCCGTCAGCTGTCTGTTTTTAGTAAATCGCCTGCCGACTAAACAAAACAGAAAAACTCAACATGAAAGAAATATAGGGTTTGTCACTCACTAAAATATAAAACACATGTAGATTTAATTTCACATTTAAATGTCCAGGAAGTGGCAATTTGTACAGTAAGCGCACACCCTCCTGCATGTTAAGCAGAATCCAACAGATAAAAGCAATATTCAAGTTTTGAAGGTTTCAAAATATATGTAATTGATATCTCAAAGACAAAGAGGCAGTAATAGCATAAAGCTTTGTTTATTTTCTTCTATTATCGTACTATTATTGCAGTTCTATTTAATAAACGGATCCTACTTCGTCGTGTTTGGAGGCCAACTAATAGTTTTCACAATAAGATTACTTTTTGTTTCTGTTTTTTTTATTCTTTGAAATTGGGCCGCTCCATTTTATGGTCTTTGCTCATGAACATGTTTATCCATAATGAGCCCATAATAGCTCCATAAAATAAGAAAGCCTCACTGTTAAGTCGTTCAGTTACAATAAATATACTTAAATGTTGACAACTGCTCATAAAAGACAAGTTTCCTTATGCTTGCTGCTTTCTTTTCTCCCACATGGATGCACAACAGAACTAACTCAGAGTCCACCCTTATTGGACAGATGGTTGCATATGCTTACAAAATGCTAGCACACCGCTGACATGTTGTGAAAGGAAGGGTAAGGTGAACAGAAGCAGCTGGTGACTTCATATGGGCCAGAAAGGGTAGCTGTCAATCTTTGACAGGCCAACAAAGGGCAACAACAACAAGTGGCCTGTCAAAGATTGACAGCTACCCTTTCTGGCCCATATGAAGTCACCAGCTGCTTCTGTTCACCTTACCCTTCCTTNGGCCTCTCTTGTCTTTTTAAGCGGGAGAACTTGCACAATTCGTGGCTGACTAAATACTTTTTTGCCCCACTGTATATCAGGAAACAGATTAACATTGAAGGAGAAAAATTTTCCTCATCAACAAGTGATTTCATCGACCTTTCCCTTCTGCTTTTCTTTGGCTTTAAGTAGATTGCTTCTTACTCTGTAATTATCTTGCTTCCTCTGTGGGTACTTCTTGTATTTGTATGACTCACCCCACCCTGCTTTTGCCCTCTTTTGCTCCACATGTTTTATTCTCCAAATTCCTCCTGGCATTTGCTTTCCACTGAATACCTTCTGGTTTCTGTAATTGTAGGAGAAAGGTTGAGTGGAAAATGTGGTCCCTGTTTCAAATGCAGAATCCAAGTATGAAGATGTATTTTCTTTAAAAGTAGTTGATGGCTTATGTTTTTATTCAAGTTTAGCATCAAATCAGTAGGGAAGAGGGATCACACTTGGTTATTTGTGTATGTCTCTTTCACTTCTATCAGGTTTCATTTCAAGGTGTGATGAGACAGATATATACGGATGAATAAATGACCAATTACAGGCTAATTAGAGGGAAGTGGAGGGAAAAGAGGAGCATAGATGACAGGAGATAGGTGAAGAAATCTGTGAATATTAACTCAAAATGAACACCGCTCTTTCCTTTAATGAGAACAAAGACCCGAGCATGAGTCATCATTATTTCACCTGAATATGCAGCGTTATTAAAATCTCAAGAAAACAGCTTTCTTGAGAGCTCTTCATATGATTTAGATTTGATATGGTTGTTTCGTGATCCTTAAACTGAATAATCTAAGGTGCAGTCAGTGATTATAATCCAAAATGGTTTGTTTGTGTCAAATACAGCCAATATCTCCTCATAGTCTGTTCTGTGTGCTGAAAACAAATCTTGCATTAAAAATGTCTCCTGTATAATACAGTGCATATCTGAAGCCTAGAGTAATTACTGCTTCTAGTTGTGTTTAAACTATACAAACCATTTAACACAATTATTAAGACTATTGTTGATTTGAATATAAATGATTACTAGGCCAGAGGTTTTAATGTAATAGTATTTTGCCCCATACTATAAAGTTGAATTGTCAGAAAACCTTGGTTTCTGCATTTTTTTCTGCTGTTGTATTTACTTTATGGATTATTCTTATTTGATTCAAAGTAGGGACAAAGCTACAAAAGCTCGTATTTCCTAAATTCCTCAGTTGCAGTATCAGAGTGTTGTGTTCCGATCTCTGGAGCAAAGTGCTTGGTTGTCATCGTGTCAAGACTACAATTAAACAGTTTCCTGCTCATGTCGGCATGTCCAGCCTCTTCAGAAGAAAACATGAGTCATACAATGAACACACTAGCCAGCAAGTGCACATGAAATGCAGCCAGGCTGGTATTTAACGCCTTCTCTTAATAATCCCCGCTCTCACAGAGCACAGTTTGCTGCCTGCAGCACACAGAGTCTTGGCATCCATTCATAAATAGGACTGACATCTGACCACGGATTATCCCATTGCCCCAGTTTCACAGAGAGTGCTGTGTTGCAATAATATCCACAGACTACACAAAGTTCGGTGTGTGTGTGTGTGTGTGTGTGTGTGTGTGTGTGTGTGTGTGTGTGTGTGTGTGTGTGTGTGTGTGTGTGTGTGTGTGTGTGTGTGTGTGTGTGTGTGTGTATTAAGGTCTACACATCTGTGTGCATATGTTAATCTGCTAAGGAGCATATTCCAATGTCTGCTTTCAGTTATTGAGTGTGTCGCTGTGTGTTCCTGCAGATTAGGGTAGTTAAGAGAAACATAGTAGGCATGACACATTTATTTGCAGACCTATGACTTGTGAAGTTTGCTTTCAAAAAAGTATATAAAAAATGAAAACCTAGCAATATGTTGATGCACTTTTCCTGTTTATTGCAATGACAAATACTGCAGGCATCCAGATTATTATGCTCTGAAGCTGTTTCCTGAGAGAGAGGCAGGACATGACCCAGACATCTTTCTAAATAATTGAACTGTGTTCATTATTTTGAATATTAAATGTACAAAACTCAGCAGGATTGCCCCAGTAACAGCAAGTCTGTGGACTTCACTGACATCCCCCTAAATGGATGGTGGAAACAAGCAGAAAACACACTCACTCGAACACACAGGCATTAACATTTAAACATATTTATGCTGATTCATTAAACAAAGTACACTTTAATTATAGCAGATTAAAATGCAATACTGGAATTACCTTATCCATCCATTTGGAAAATGCTGAGTACTCATTTCAAAGTATTTAAACACTCATTATTTACAGACACGCACACACACTAGCACATCACCTGTTATGTTAATGTAGATGACCCCTACATATTTAATGCAAATGTGGATAGTCTTTACGATTTTATGCTCTTTTCAAGTACTCTATATTGGGGCTGGTTCACAAACCTCAGCACATTAGTAGACTGGGGTAAAGAGTTGTGGTGAAGCAACACTCAGCATGCCTGATGGTGATGTTTCATGTCTTTTTAACAGTTACTAAATTATTATTTACTTCCTTCTGTTGTATGGTAATGTTTCTTAGTAGACGGTGGTTGTCTTTGTCGTGGATCCGATACCTTTACATTCAGGACATTAGAATAAAACCGGATTGAAAAAACGCAGGCACACTGGTGATTGAATTTAAGGTTTTATATTGGGTACAGCACTATGAAGACCACATTTCCTCCTTCTGTACTTTTC